TGATGTTGATGATGGTGATGTTGATTACGATGATTGATGATGGTAATAATGATGATGATGGTGATGGTGGTGATGATGATGGTGCCCCAGTAATGATGATGTTGACGATGTTGATGATGATGATGGTGGTGGTGATGATGATGGTGTCCCGATGATGTTGATGTTGATGATGATGTTGTTGATGATGATGATGGTGTCCCGATGATGATGGTGATGATGATGGCGATGCTGATCATCCTGATGATGTTGGTGATGATGAGATGATGGGGTTGAGATGGTGATGATGATAAATATGATGATGATGGTGTCCCGATGATGGTGGTGATGAGGTTGAAGATGTTGTTGATGATGATGGTGATGACGATGGTGTCCCAATGATGATGTTGTTGATGATGATGACAATGACGATGATGGTGTCCCGATGATGATGATGATAATGATGATGATGATGATGAGGATGATGATGAGGGGCTGATGATGATTTTGATGATGGTGGCCCGATTATGGTGCTGATGCTGATGTTGATGATGTTGGTGTCCCGATAGTGATGATGATGGTGATGATGATGATGGTGTCCCGATGATGATGATGATGATGATGATGATGATGATGATGATGATGATGATGATGATGATGATGATGATGACGTCGATGATGGTGTTGCTGATGATGACGGTGGTGCCACGATGCTGATGATGTTGATGATGTTGTTCATGATGATGATGAGATGACGGTAATGATGATGATCGTGGTGTTCCGATGATGCTGGTGTCCCAATGATGATGATGTTGATGATGATGATGATGATGATGATGATGATGGTGGCAATGATGGTGTCCCGATGGTGATGGTGATGACGATGATGTTGATGATGCTGGTGATGAGGTACTGATGATGATGGTGTCCCGATGATGATGATGATGATGATGATGATGATGATGATGATGATGATGATGATGTTGTTGATGGCGTTGATGACGATGATGACGTTGATTGTGAGATCGATTGTGATATCGATAGTGAGATCGATAGTGAGACCGAATGTGAGATCGATTGTGAGATCGATTGTGAGATCGATTGTGAGATCGATAGTCAGATCGACTGTGAGATCGATAGTCAGATCGATTGTGAGGTCGATCGAATGGAATAGATCGAGTGATATCGATTGTGAGATCGATCGAGTGAGATCCATCGAGCGAGACCGAGAGTGAGATCGATAGTGAGATCGATAGTGAGACCGATCGAGTGAGACGTTGGTTCCCCCCCCCCGAACCTCCATCACCCGAAGGGTGGTCGTATGGGTATTCAAGCGTGTTGAAGCCTGGCCCACCACTCTCCCAACTCCGTAGGTCGGGCTAAAGGCCAGGGTTTCGAGACATGCATTCCTCGTGGCCACGGCAACTTCCCTCTGAGTAGTTGCTTGCGCTGCTGCTGGTCAATTTTGTCGCAAGGGGCACCCAGGGCCCTGGCGGGGCCCGAAGTGTAGGCCCCACACCTAAAACAAAACGAAACACCACGGGGAGCCCCGACTCTATGACTCTACAGACAAACAGTCTATGGGGAGGCGTCACCTCTAGGTCCCTCACCTTTAGCAGGGACGGGGACGGAGGCCTGCTGCTACCCTACTCCTCCTCCTCCCCTCCTCCCTCCTCCCTTCTCCTCCTCCTCCTCCTCCTCCTCCTCCTCCTCCTCCTCCTCCTCCTCCTCCTCCGCGTCCTCGTCCTCCTCCTCCTCCTCCTCCTCGTCCTGATGTTTCTTATCGTTCTTGCCTTTCCTTCCTCCTAGTCACCCTCCTTCCTCCTAACCCTTCCACCTGATCCTCCCCAGGGGGAGCAGCTGGCAACAGAATCGGCCGCCGGGGCTGCCAACCTCCCACCGCCCACAGCAGCAGTGGGTGTACTGGCCACAGCGCGTCGAGCTGCCCTCCTGCTGGCTTCTTCTCTTGTCCTCCCTGCCCCCCCCCCACCACTTGGGGACAGAAGGGAGAGTGGAGTAGGGGGCGCAGGGGAGGGGCAGGCGACATTGCGCGCAACCCGCCAGTGCCGCCGTGGCAATGCGAATGGCGAAGAGCGAAAATTGCTTCGACGTGGGCTGGCGTCAAGCCGCAGACAACGGCCGAAGAAAGGCGCGTCGCACTATGACGGCGCACAAAACGAGAAGGCTTATATTGCTTGCCATCAACTTTGGCCCGACTTTACCAGCATGGAGAGATGTCCAATCTCGAATCCGCCACTGGTGAATCCGCCTTTGCGTCACAGGGGACCAAACTCTCGTGGATTGCCGGGTCCAAGAAGGTGCAGATCCCGCCCAAAAAAGCCTGCATAGGCAGGTGCGAACTGGCATCCCAAATCCCTGCGCGGAGCAAAGACGCTTTGCCTGTACGCACTCCTAATGGCCTCAAGCCATTCCCAGTAACTCCCGCAAGCGCGGCCGCTTGGCACCGCCTACTCCAGATTTCGTAATAAAAGGGAGGGGGTCTGGACCCTCCAAGACAAGCCATTTCAGATCCCCCCCCCGTGGGAGAACCCTCCAAAACATCGTCCCCAGACCCCCCCAGGCCCTCCAAGATAGCCTGGAAGAGAACCCCTCCGAAATGAGACCCCCCTCCCTTTCTTACGAAATCTGGAGTAGCCCCCGCTGGGCACCAGGAGACGCCTCGCCCTTGCGCGACTCGTGAACGCACCCTGCGAGATATAGCAGGGCACGCTGGGGCGTCCCTGCCCCCCCCCCTTGCTTGAAGGGGCCCTGGGACACACAAACAAATGCATACAACTAAGAGGATGCCCCATATATTTCCAAGTATTTTCGGGGTTCTTGTCTTTCCCCCCGCACTTCCCGTATTTTCCCATGTCTTCCTTGGAGTGGACGACGAATTGTTTCTGCGTGTTTCTTCTCCTCCTGGCTTGCTCCCGACAAGACACCAGTCCTGGGGACGGGACTGGCCGCGATGCCGACGGATGGCCGGAGTGTCCGAACCTTCGGCGGGCGCCGCGGACAGGATGCCAAACGCCTTCCGCGGTACCGCCTGGAAGCCGTAAAGGATCAGAATTTCTCGTTCCAGAACCCCTCGATCAAAACAACTTCGCATCTCTTGGAGGACGGAAGGGTTACTCCAGATTTCGTAATAAACGGGAAGGGGCCTCAACCCTCCCAGACGAGAAGTTTTAGACCCCCCCGTGGGAGAACCCTCCAAAACATCGTCCCCAGACCCCCCCAGGCCCTCCAAGATAGCCTGGAAGAGACCCCCCCCCGAAATGAGACCCCCCTCCCTTTATTACGAAATCTGGAGTATTCTGCACGCTTCCGCCGGCCTTCCACTGGCTTCCGCTGGCGCATCCGCCGCCGCTTTATTGCCGCCGTCTTCCGCCAGCCTTCCGCCGCCATCCGCCCGGGAAAGGTTGTTACCTGCGCGGTTCCTTGAAGACAGAGTCCTTTCTGGAACGCGCCAAAGCATCTCGTCAGCACCAGCGTGGCCCATGTTAAAATCTGGGCATCGCTCGGACGTCCATTCCCTGTGTTTTTTTTACGGTTTCGTGCGTGGTCTTTTCGCCAGATGATCAAGGATGCTCCTCGATGGTCCTGCCGAAGGAAAAATGCACACGTCCGAGCGATGCCGAGAGATAGGTCGGCCGTGACCAGCCGTGACGCACGGCGGAGAAAGATCGGCGCTCTAACTCGGAGGGGCACTCCCCGAACAGCTTCTCTGCAAGAGCTCACAATCTGCTGCCTCGACGCCCACTTGGGGGGAGCCCGGGCCCCCCGAAATCGGCGGCCCACCGTGGCCGCCCCTCGTGGCCCCCCAATCATGGCCCCCCTCCTCCTCCTCCTCCTCCTCCTCCTCCGCCTCCTCCTCCTCCCTCCTCCTCCCTCCTCCTCCTCCTCCTCCTCCTCCTCCTCCTCCTCCTCCTCCTCCTCCTCCTCCTCCTCCTCCTCCTATGCTTAGCACGCTTGCCGTTTCACCCAATTGTCGATTATGGCTCACAACTTCTGCCAACGCACCTATGTTGTGCATGGCGTCTGTCTGTCTATCAGTGGTGGCCCTTCATCGGGCCCCCCCGATCGTGGCCCGCCTCCGCGTCACTGTGCGAAGCTGTTCAGGGCCCTCACTGGCACCATATAATCGCCCCCCAATTGGCAACCGTGTCCAGCTCCAGTAGAGCGGTCGGCAGGTGCGATGGGGAGAGTCTTTCACTCTCCTGACGTCCAAGGTCAAAGGCGTAGGTAGACTCACGACCGCGGGATGAAACCCCTGCGACGTGAAGTAACAGAAAAGAACAGCCCGTCCGATCGAGCGTCCTGAGACGTCTCGTCCCGCTTGCGGGAACGGCGTGAATCGCGCAGTGCGGAAAAACATGCACGGGTGAGAATCAAAAAGACACCCCTCAAGCCTCATGGATATTGCTACACGACGGTGTGCATGTATGACAAATACTCAGCCCGAAATTTATCCGAAAACCTGCCGTGCGCATTGTGCAACTCACGCTCCGAACTGGTGTAGAAACGAGCTCGGAAAAACTTGTCGATTGAGTCATTACATTTGGGCCTTCTGGGCGCCAGCGCATGGCTAGAGACGGCCACCCGCGCCTCTCGACGAACATTAGATTCTCCTCAGGATGTTCCAGCGTGTTGTATCTAGACATGCAAATACTCAAACCTATGTGTAGACGAGTGTGCGGATACTGCAGGCAACGAGCTGATCCAATACATCGTTCTAGGAGGCGGCTGGAGGGTCTGAAACGGTGGGACCCCAGAGAATCGGTCAGGATCTATCTGGCACAGTTTTTCACACCAGATCCGTTTTTCACTGCCCCAGTGCCCGAAAACAGCCCCCAGAGGCCGAACAACTAACGATAGCAAAAGCGCAACAAAAACCCGAGCCCAGAACCTGGAACCTGCCCGCCCTTCCTGCTGGCCGGAGCCAGTCCTGGGCCACCTCAGACCGTCGCCTGCCTAAGGTACGGTCTCCTAGATGGACGGTCTCCCAGATGGGTGGGAGGGCCTCACGCCAGCCAGCGCTGGCCGCACCTGGGGCAGAAGCTGCCGTCTCCCTCTTTGGGGCTGCCGCAATACGCGCAGAACCTCGCGCGCGGCGGGGCAGCCGTGGCCTGAGACGAAGCCAGGACGAAGATGAATTCGGGTAAGGCAAAATCGAGACTCTGAGATCTGGCGGTTCTGGAGGATGACTCGGGCGCCGTGGCCTTCTCAGAGCGTTCCAGAACGCTCTGAGAGCGTCCCAGAACGCTCTGGAACGGAGTTTGAGGGGCAACGATAGGGGGGACTGGCATAGGGGGGGATGCATCGACCTGGAACCGGCGATACATCGTCGATAGGTCGGCGACGGGCCCCAGAAAGTGAACCCGCACCTTCCTGGGCGGGGTGGGCCTATCGGGCCCCTATCGGCGATCAGTGGGCGATTAGGGGTCGATACATCCCCCCCTGTGCCTGTTCCCCCGTTGTCGTTGCCCCTGAAGAACGCTCTGGAACAGAGTTGTCCTCGTCCCAGCCCCGTCCGATGGCCTGCGCCGCCTGCCAGCGCACCGTCTGCCGCGGCACGCCGCCGCGGGCCGGCGGCGCAGCAGCGCCGGGACCCTCCTGCGCGAGGCCCGCCAGGTGCGGCGGCAGGGCCTGGCGAGTGAGGCCTCCTGGGCGGGGTCCGAGTGCGGCAGGTGCGTGCCGCGTCGACCCCGGCGTTGGTTGCCGACACCGACACCGCGGGGATCGTTCGACCCTTGAACGAGGGCTCCCAGCTTCGCGCTTCGCGCTGCGCGAGGCGCGAAGTGCGAATAAGTTCGCGCGCTCGCGCCGCCTCCCAGGGGAGAGGAGGACGAGGAGCCGAACCGCGAAGCGCGAAGCGCGAATAACTTCGCGCCCTCGAGGGCGTCCTTGTTGAACGAGCGGCCGTTTCCGAAACGTCCAAACCGTTCCACATCGAACGATTCTGGGTCGCCCGCGGCGTTCAACATGGAATGCCGCTGGCGGGGTCGCCGCCTGTCGGCACGACGTGAACCTGCCGTACAGTCGGACCTAGGCCAGGACATCCTCCAAGAACTTGAGACCCTCTGCTGGCCAAAACACACAGCATATCCCTAGGATGCACAACATCACCCAACAAGCACGAGAACATTAGGGTACCCTCCCCGAGCCGACCTCGATCGTATACCTCGGTACAACTGTAAAGAGGGTGGGAGGACCGCGCCAGATCGCCGACGCATCGGCGCCATCGGCGTGGAGACAATCGGGCTCCACATCGAGCCGCATCGCCGATGCATCGACGATGCGGGGCGATCCTCCGCCCCCATCTACTCCGACGCCATCTAGGAGGCCTAGACTACAGGAGCAACAGAAAAAACTGCAGAAGCACACAGCCATCGCGCTACCAGAAATAATGCTGACTATGACACGATGGGGCTTTTCTGGCCGCAGCGAACCTCGGCCGCGGACAAGTTCCCCAACCTAGATTTAAGGAGCGGCCCGAACATCGGAGCCCCTCCTGAGCCCAAAAGGGTCCTTGTCTCAGCGTCTTGGCCGGACTGTCTCGGAGGTCCGCGCGAATTTCTTGGATCGGCGCTGGACCCCCTTCCCTGGCGCGCGGAGCGCGCCGGGGGCGGCGCTGGAGGCGCCGTCAAGGGAACCCAGCGACGATCCACGGAATCCGCGCGGACCTCCGCGAAGTCATGTTCATGCACTCGTTTTGGACGCCCGGCATGGGTACGGAAAAATGGGTACTCCAGATTTCGTAAGAAAGGGAGGGGGGTCTCATTTCGGGGGGGGTCTCTTCCAGGCTATCTTGGAGGGCCTGGGGGTGTCTGGGGACGATGTTTTGGAGGGTTCTCACACGGGGGGGGTCTGAAATGGCTTGTCTTGGAGGGTCCAGACCCCCTCCCTTTATTACGAAATCTGGGGTACGATGCCCAACAGCAAATGTTGCCCCAAGCCGACAGCGGCCGCTGATGGCCAGGCGGCCTGCTGTCTCACATGGGCAGCGTCCGCGGCGACGCCGACGGCGATCCCTGTTCGGAAGGGACAGGAACTGCTGTCGGTCTTCTCGGGTCGGGCGAAAGGGGGGGATAGCAAAGGGGGGGTTTGAGAATCAGCTCACGTAGCTGATTCTCCTGGCGCCTCCCGGCACCGGAGGCGACTATGTATCGAGGAATGGGCCCCTCGGCGAAGCCGAAACCAGCTGCATGCAGCAAATTTCGTAATCCCCCCTTTCCCAATCCCCCCCTTTCGCCCGGCCCGATCTTCATACGATCGGGGAGACGTAAGACTCGGGCACAGGGGACTCGGGTTAGTCTGACAGGGTCATCATAAAAAGTGACGAGGCCAAATCTGCAATTTGACGCGAACTCCCGCTGCAAACATCCCACGAAAACTGGACCGTCAAACTCTAGGACGCGCCCGTCAAAACAGATTCGGCGAACTCGAGTTCCGGCTTGCTCGAGTCTTACGCTTCCCCTGTGCCATCTCTCTCCGTACCCACTCCGATCGTCCCGACTTGTTGGTTCTCCGAGGGCCTTGAAGAAGAGCGGCCGGTTCTTCGCCGGAGCGGCGCCTCGCATGTGCGCGCGCGAGGAGAGGTAGTGGGCGGCGCTGCGGTCGAAGCCCTGGAGGTCGGCGGGAAGCACGGCGAGCGCGCGCTCCGCGAGCTCCGCGGGGTGGCGGCAGAGCTCGCCGCCGTGGAAGACGGCGTAGAGCTCCTGCGCGATGGCGGGGGAACAGAAGTTCAGGAAGGCAGAGCCGCGGTTGGCCTCGTTGGCGGCGCGCAGAGGGGGCGCAGGTGGAGGAAGGCTTCTTAGAAGGAGGCCGCTTCTTGGAAGGCGCGGGCCTCGTCTACGCATGCAGGGTCCACGCCTTCTGATAAGCGACCTCCTTCCATGGAGCCTTCCGGCCCTCCCTCTGCCCCCCCCCCTCTGCGC